ACGGGGCGGAACGAGCTGTGTAGTACAAATGCAAATAACATAGTCGATGTTTACGGCATGGTTTAGTATTTAAATTTGCATTATAAAAAATGTTGATACACAATGTTTTACACCATCGATGTCATCTAGCAGGTCTGTACTGCTTGCCCGGTGATTCTGTACATGTGATCATCAGGTACTAATTACCTATTACGAAACAACGAACGAGTACCGTGTTATTGTTCGTGTTGCGATCGTCATCTGCGATATCAAGGTCAAGGACAAAGTACCCAGATTAATGATGTCAAATCAACGACTACTGGCAGAGGTGTGAGTAAATCATCTTTCGATCTGAGCATCTCTGAGACAACAGCATAAATCACCACGTTCTCAAAAGATAAGTAAGTTCACCGGACCAGATTTCGATCCCAAGTAGCAGTTTCCTGTATTTGAACTGAACATACTATGGATCCAACCGAACCAACAGTCTATCTCTAAATTAACCTCGTACTCTGATATTGCCGCCGACGACAAAACAACAACAAAAACAACAATAACAACGGAAAACAAGTAAAGTTGAATAAAGTTGAACAATCTCCATAAGAGAGTACGGTGTTAAGTCAGCATAAGTCAGCACTTAAATCGAAACCTAACCGCTGACTATTCAGTAAATTTACCACACCTTTTGTAAAACACGCTGCCGAATCGGGGGGCCATTGTTTAGCAACGATTTCGCACAGAGCGCAAACGGAAAGAAGGGATGAATTGCAGCTTAGCAACATAAAGAATGCGGCGTAGCCGACTGGACGACGAAATCCGAGTTGCTACGCCAAAACCACTCAGCATCCGCCAGCCGATGGTCGCAAGCAAGACGGACGGGATGCAATGAGGTAGAAGAAGCTCAGCGAAATGAATCGACGAAATAACATGGTTCAGTGAGCGGCTTGACTCAGAGAGAAAGAACGATGACTGATGCAGAACGAAATCATTAGCCGTTCATGCAAAACGTCTGCAACCGAAGAACAGCTGAAAAAGACGGATTACGCGAACAAGAACAGACATGCCATCTGTAAGATGGCACAGAATGCGGTGAATTGGTGATGAACGATGACCTGTGGACGGACGCAGCGAAGCGAACATCGACGCTTGGCAGGTCAGTCATTGGATACGAAGTCGACATCACATTAGCTGACCGATTTTTGAACGGTTAATGTTCAAAGCTATTTCTTGCTCAAAGACCAACAAGCAGCAAATATACTACCTTAATCCGATCGTTTCCACGAGAAACGGACGGATGACGTTAGTTTTTCTTTTATCCCCTCAACCAACATGCAAACACGAAATAGAAATCGAAACTTAATTGCTGCTGCGAAAAAGCATAAACACTCATACACAAAATTTACAAGCCACTACAGGCAACGATGTGACTCAAACATGTACAAGCCGTGCATCACGATGTTTAATGATTGATCGATATCGATTTAATGCACAAACTGTAAAACGCAAAAAAATATTTAATTCAGTTAATTAATGCCAAATTTTGCATTATTTAAACAAACAAATTTAAAACTGGCCATTCTGACATGATGCACAATTCGTGACAGCATTCCGACACAGCGGCAAAGCGCAGGAACATTTTACTGAGTCAGCAAACAAACAAAGCTTCGTATAACCGGATCGAAAACAGAAACCTTTGCCCGCAGCGGCGACGTTCTAACAGACATAAGAACATCTAAAAGAGCCCGGTTCCTTTGTTGCTAACCAAAAAGTAATCCACTAATCCTAGTTAATGATTAAAGTACATATTTAACAATAAATTAAACTTCTTGTTGGCAATACTGCGCTCCAGACTAATTACATGATTCCTGACAAACCAGGAAAAAACAATCGTCAAGATTAAAGGCCACTGAATCATATTTCTTTATATTCAC